AGTACTTAATGAAAACTAACTTAATTATAGTGTTTTGGAAAGCTCTCGAGATAAGCTACAAGAATATGTAATGAGAAAAAATAGGATCCATTTAAGAAATTGAAGGTGACCTTCAAATAACTCTTCAAGGTCAAACCAATGGTATTATGTTATGTCCCTCTTGAAGCCATACAGCTTTTGTCTGAAACACTTTCTAGTAAAACTTTTCCTTATCGAGATACTCGACCATATCCAGACTTTTTTAACACTCAGTATACATATATACAAAATTACAGGAAGAATTAGAGGAGGAAAATTACGGTAGGTAGAACATTGCAGAAGTAGCTTTATTATTTCTAGTACTTCCAAATGTAGAAGTTGAGCGTATCTTCAGTTAACTCAACTTAATAAAAAATAAAACAAAAAATAATTTAAGTCTTAATATAATTAATTCAATATTATATGTACGCTATGATTTAAAAAGACACGGTAAATGTTGTCACGATTATAAATTATCAGAAAAAATATTAAAAATTATTGGTACAAACGAGCTTATTCCTAAAAATATGAAAATTTTTAACTTAAATGATTTAATTTTTAACAAATATTTCAACTAGTCTGCTTTATCTCTTAAAAAATTCTCACTTAAATTATATATATATATATATATATATATATATATATATATTTTTTTTTTTTTTTTATTTAAGTGAGAATTTAAATATATTAAAATATATATATATATATATATATGTATGTATACAGGGTGTCTGCTAAACATGCGGCAAAAATTCAGGGGGTGATTTATTGGGTTATTTTAAGACTTTTTTGTTATCTGATGATTTTCGAAAAAATGCTTTGTTTCGAAAATAAAAGCAATAAAAGTTTTTTGACCAATTTTTTATTCCATAAATAACAGGCAATACAGGTTTTTTTCAAGTATTAACGTAGTCTAAATAAACGTAGCAAGCTAGTGCAGATGTTGAAAACAATAACAAAATTTGTTTATTTGCCATTGATAGTTAAACTTTTGTTAGTGTTCATGAATCGCTATACGAACGCTGAGATGACTGACATGCATTTCATGTATGGTCTTGCCGATGGAAATTCGTTATGGGCTAGGCGATTGTACATTGAACGATTTCCCAACCGTAATGTTCCTGATAGAAAAACCTTCGAAAGAATTCATCAACGTCTTCGAGAAACAAAAATTGGTCAAAAAATTTTTATTGCTTTTATTTTCGAAACAAAGCATTTTTTCAAAAATCATCAGATAACAAAAAAAGTCTTAAAATAACTCAATAAATCACCCCCTGAATTTTTGCCGCATGTTTAGCAGACACCCTGTATATTTATTTATTTATATCGCTTAATATTAAAATTTAAATATTATAGTTTAAAAATAAGAATACAGAAATTTTTATAAAATATTTTATTCATGAAAGAAGCACCTTCACAATTTATAATCCTTTCTTCGAGGTACAAGTTTATAAATTTTACCTTTATAAACTGTATTTTTAGAAATAAAAAACTTAGTAATTTTTATTTCAAACAGTACTCTGGAACTGTTTGACTCATTTTTTAAAGAACAAATCTTACTGATAAGTATTATATAATAAAATCTTGCGTTAAATTTTAACTATTAATTTAACTACTATTTTTTCTTGATATTAAAATTTAGTTATTATCTAGCTTTTTTAAAATACTGTCTAGACTTTTTTCCTAGCTATTGGCAACACTGACCGCTAGTGTACGACGTAGGGAAAACGTTCTCTGAAAAATGACCCTTTCAGGTTTCTCTCTGGCTATATTGGGTCCGTTTTTTTTAGCTGCACTGTTGCACTAATGCAATTAGTTAGAGTGAAAGAAAGTATGTTTGTCTCTTTCTAACTTATTGCACTAATGCAGCAGGGTCCCGTTAGCCCACAAGCCCAATAACACACGAGACACCTCCGATTAGACACAGTACAATTGGACACAACTGGCTTTGATTGGCTAATCGTGCTTGATCGTGCTGGTTACCCTAGGCATCGGTCGATATGATTGGCTGTGTCTAATCGTACTGTGTCTAATCGGGCAATCCCCATAGCACACAACCACACATATCAGCCGATGCTTAAGATAACCAGCACACTTGACCAATCAGAAGGTCCTAGTGTTCTAACTGACCAATTAGCAACACTCGTACGCTATCGGGCTCGTGCGTTATCGGGTTCCGTCCATTTCAGAACACGACCTATGTATAATATTATTTATACAGGTGCAATTTCATTGACGCTAAAAACCAGCGGCAAATTAAAATCACTAGACTTTCTCTAGATTCGGCGTCAATAAAATAAAGTTCAGTTTCAACTTTTTCAGCGTGTCGCAAAATTCAAGTGTAGTAATATGTAATTGTGGATCTGTTCTTTTTAGCTGCACTGTTACTCCCCTCTATAGGCCCTAAGAGTCTATCCAGACAAACTTGCATAGGTGCATATGCATAACATAAGACCATATGGACCAATGAGCATCGAGTATTAAATCGTTATATTGACTTACATAACATAATACTCGATGCTCGTTGGTCCATATGGTCTTATGTTATGCATATGCACCTATGCAAGTTTGTCTGGATAGGCCATAAGAGTCTATCCAGACAAACTTGCATAGGTGCATATGCATAACATAAGACCATATGGACCAATGAGCATCGAGTATTAAATCGATATATTGACTTACATAACATATTACTCGATGCTCATTGGTCCATATGGTCTTATGTTATGCATATGCACCTATGCAAGTTTGTCTGGATAGGCCCTAAAGGCCGCAGCACACACTTTTGCATAAGCACATAACCATAAGCATAAAAAAATTGATTGGTTCATTTTCTTATGCATATACTTGGGGACCAATCAATTTCCTTATGCTTCTGGTTATGCGCTTATGCAAAAGTGTGTGCTGCGGCCTTAAGTTTATGTACGAAGTTAGGGCCTATCCAGACAAACTTGCATAGGTGCATATGCATAACATAAGACCAATATGGACCAATGAGCATCGAGCATTAAATCGCTATATTGACTTACATTAGAGAACCTCTAGGAGAGAGAATGGACAACTGATTAAGCTCTTTCATGATTGGCTGGCAGAAAATGTATCAATTTTAGCTATTGCGACGCCAATGCAAAATATGATGACACACAAATAGGACACACATGACACACATATATTAACCTATTTGTGTGTCATCATATTTTGCATTGGCGTCGCAATAGCTAAAATTGATACATTTTCTGCCAGCCAATCATGAAAAAGCTTGATCACATGTCACATGATCAGTTGTCCATTCTCTCTCCTAGAGGTTCTCTAACTTACATAACATAATATTCGATGCTCATTGGTCCATATGGTCTTATGTTATGCACATAGACATATATACATAGACTGCGCATGCTATGCTGGCCGTTGAAGCAATGAAGTGAGATAGAAAATGGCTCGGAGGATCTCTTTCTCTCTCGCACAGTAAGAAAAGTGGAGGAAGCAGAATGAGAGTTGCAGGGGAAGCCTCCCATTGTGGCCTCCCTTCAAGTCTTGAGAGGAAAAGAGTTCACTTCCCCCTCCACGGTGTGATTTAGAGTGAGACAGAGATCCCCCGATATTGCTTTCTCTTTTTAAATGTTTGCTTCAATGGCTAGCACAGCATGCGCAGTCTAGTTATATTAGAGCACTAAATATACAGGTATTCTATACTCCGCCATTTTTAATCCATTCCCCCTCCTTGTTTCTCGTGTCACTCGCCTCGTCGCTAAGCTGAGATTATAGTAGATAGGTTAGTGAAATTATATGGGGTGGGGGGATGGATTAAAAATGGCGGAGTATAGAATACTCATATATTTAGTGCCTTAGTTATATACGTCTATGGTCTGGATAGACCCTAAAGGCTTTCGCACATGAATTGCCATAACCATAAACGTAAAACGTAAACGAAAGCTGAAGAACCAATCAAAATATTGCTTTAGCTTTATGTATCCTAGAAGACGATAGAAACGATGATAAAGTTGACTGTAAGCAGAAGTAACTAGGATTTTAACTGATTGAAATCCTAGTTACTTCTGCTTACGGCCAACTTTATCATCATTTCTATCATCTTCTACGATACATAAAGCTAAAGCAATATTCTCATTGGTTCTTCAGCTTACGTTTACGTTTTACGTTTATGGTTATAGCAATTCATGTGCGAAAGCCTTAAAGGCCGCAACACACACTTTTGCATAAGCGCATAACCAGAAGCATAAGGAAATTGATTGGTCCCCAAGTATATGCATAAGAAAATGAACCAATCAATTTTTTTATGCTTATGGTTATGCGCTTATGCAAAAGTGTGTGCTGCGGCCTTCAAATTTACAATATATACTTAACGAAACGTAATGTGGAACCCTTGTGCGGAGACCCTTACTATGATACTTTTTTATAACTTTTGTTATTTTTTCATGATAAAATAAATACTAAATATGTATAATAAAAATCAATGTAATTGGTACACACATAATATATATCTCAAAATATATAATATTTTTAATGAAATTTTTAATGAAAAATATAAAGCCAATTGAATGAGATTGTAACAGTTAAATTGCGGGAGAATGAGTTAGTGGCTAAGAAGACGAGCACATTAGTAGTGGTGAATTATATGAGAAATAAGATTCTTCTAATTTACGAGATGGACAACATATGTCGCAAGGTTTAAACACATAATTAGGATATACTGATGGTACGCAGACTTGATATGATGATGAAGTATCGCAAAAAGGTTTACACCACGAATTATTATCATTGTCATTCAATGAGTCGCTTCTTGCACAGGGTTTTAAAGATTGATAAAAATCTTCATTATCGCATGACAAAATTTGTTCTTGACGAGCTTTATCACAAGTTAATTTACAATACGTAGCCAAAGCGGCTTCTCTAGCTTGATCGGCACAATAAAACTTTCTAAGAGCAATTTCTGCATCACCCAAATCAGTTAGCTTCAATAAAGCGGCACGACCTGGTTTGCAAACTGGATACAGTTTTGTCATACATTCTGGTCTACCCATACAATCCCACATCATACATCTATCTTGTAGACCATTTCTTTTAATACACTCACATTTGTATCTTATGCTGGAACGAAAATTGAAACTCTTACACAGTTTTACACATCCCTGCAATATGTTTAAAATCAATCGATTTATGATACATTTCACAAGTAAATCAAATTATATCAATATTGATTTAAAAAAATTCAGAGTTTATTAAAATATTTAGACAGCATGTATATTCAGAAGATGTTTAGAGAACATCCCAAAGACCTATCACACCAAAGATATCTGAAATATTTTCTAGATATCATTCAGATATGCATGCTATTTAAGTAGCTAATTAAACTGTCGTTAATGAAAGGTAATTAACAATAAGGCTGATTCTTTGGAAGAGGCAAGTAAAAAGAGTTATTGTTAGAAACTTACATAAGGCTGACTACAAGATGATAATTCTATAGGACAATATACCATAGGTGGACAAAGTGGTTCGTCCCATTCACATGGTTTCCTAAACATATATAATATCAATAAACCACATATTTATTTCACACTACTCTCAACATGAAACTAAATAAAATCTTACTTCTTATCCATAGAGCTGATTAAACATTTCAATTGCGCTAATAATTCGCGTCTTCTATCACAATTTGGATTTTTACCATCACAAGGCATTTTAGCTTCCAAATTTTATATAACACTTAATATTAAGAAGAGAAATTTTCTTCTAAAATTAGACTTTTTTCTCTTTTTTTATTATATTTTCTATATTTTTATTTTGTGATATTTATATACATGTACATGGAATATGTAGAATTTAGAAATTTTGTATTTAATTTGAAAATAATTAATTTAGATTGATATCAACTGAGAATTTTCTCTAAGACTAATGTCACTTTATTAAAATAACGAGTTTCCTAGCAACTGTATAATACATTATTAAACTATATATATAGAATTAACTAATGCATATATATGTATATATGTGTGTGTGTGTGTGTATACTTCAAAAAAGATATAATTTTAATAAATATAATAAATAATAATAAATATAATAAAAATATAAATTAAATAAACATAAATTAAAATATTAAATGTAATTAAATTATGTCATACATGTTCATATGTTTCTTTTGTATAATCTTTGTCTATGTAGAAGAAAAAAAATAAAAAAAATAAAAATAATTAAAAATTAATTAAAAGACTAATTTTTACATCTTAGAAAAGATGTAAAAATTATCCTTTTAATTAATTTTTAATTATTTTTATTATTACTTATACAAGGAAAAATTTAGGATTAATTATTATAGACGGCAATCGTTTAATTAAACTTATTTACATTTGGTTTCAATGTGACCTTGAATATATTACAAGAAATGTTGGAAATGTTCACCATTTTCTTGAATACAAGTAGTTACACGTCGGCGTATCGATTCACGGACACGTTCAAAAATGCCAATGCGTGATATTCAAGATCTTCGTGACCGCACTGCAGATTGCGAGACATTCCGCTGTACGCCAGGTATTTTTGAACGTGTCCGTAAATCGATGCATCGACGTGTCACTGCTTGTATTCAGGAAAATGGTGAATATTTTCAACATTTATTGTAACATACTCAAAGTCACATTAAAACCAAATGTAAATAAGCCTAATTAAACAATTGTCGTCTACAATAATTAATTCTAAATTTTTCCTTGTGTAAGTAATACAGCTAACAGTATTTTCAATATAACTCCTGAAATAAGCATTTCCTATGTTCATATAACATTTTTTTCATCCTTCAGGTATGAGGAATATCTCCTTAAATTTTTGACATAACTTTTTAGAATATCCTGTGTATGTGTGTGTGTGTGTGTGTATATGTATATATTTATATTTATATTGATTAAATATATTTAAATTATATATATCTATATGGAATTTTTTTCCAATTATCATAAAAGAAAAGTTATTTTGAAATTTATATCTAAAGTCGTTTTCCTTAAAAGTAAAAAAATATAACAATTAAAATTATTTAATTGTTTTATATATTTAATGCATATAATTATATATATTTATATATTTAATGCATATAATTATATATATTTTGTCTAATATTTAGAAAATATGCTATAATAAAAATATGTAAAAATTAAATATATATTTTTTCAATAATTAGTATCAAAATTTTTTGTTATATTTACACAGATATATATATAGGGAGTTTATTACATATACATATATACATACATTATATATTATGTAGTATTATAAATAAATTTATATGTATCTTTTTTAATTTTTAATAAAATACCTTCTTCGTTCAATCTTGAAATTAAAACACCAAAATCATTTATCAAAATATCTTTACACATAGTAATTGCTTTTAATTCTTTTGTTGAAAATATTAGTTTTTTATCTACATTTACTTTTTCCTCAAGTATCTTTATAAACATTTTAATCTATACAAAAAAAAATTGTTATCAAATTTTGCATGTAAATATGCTTTAAATAAATATAAATAAATTATTTCATATGCACATAACTTACTTTTTTGTTTGTTAATTTACCATCAGAATTTAAATTTGATGTTATACAATCTTCTGATGTATCTATCATTGTATATCGCAATATATCTATTACATCTAATGCATCTGATTCGGTTGCTTCAATACGTAATTCCAGTTTTGCTCTAGCCTATAATAAAATAATATAAAATATCTTCTTAACACATATATATATTTTTCTCGCAATGAAAGATACCTCAGTCAAACGAATCATGGCTTCTAATTGTCTATTAAATATAGGTATGTTTCCAAATTGTTTATTTTTTAATCGAAGTTCTAAATAATAACTTTGTAATACTGCTGCAGCTTTGGCTGACAATTTTGGTTTCACATATTGTCGTGCATAGGAAATATAACTTCGAAGAATAGGCTGTGGGATGATCTCAGTAGATAATGGTAACATTAACTTTTTCCTGAAATGTTTATTATACAAATTTACATGTTTCTCTTAAACAAAGTAGTATATATAGAACAAAATAACATAAAATATTATTAATTAGTTTTTCAATTAAGTACTTATATAATGAGAAAAATATTAAATTATAATAATCAAAAGATGTACCATATTTTCAACAAATATCTCAAAGGGATACATTATTACTTACCTTAAGGAACAATCATTAACAGATGAGTCTATAGCTTCTTGATTGAAATTTGTATGTGAATTGGTATGAACTGTCATAATATGTTTGCATAACAAATTATCGAAATGCTGTCATAAATAAAAAAATAATATTGTTACAAGCAGTTTAATATTTATTCTTTGCCACATATTTAGTTACCTTATCTGGTTTATCCAATAATAAAAAAATTAAATCAAATCGCGAAAGGATAGGCTGATTAATATTTAAATTTTCAGTTATTGTTTTGCTTTTGTCATATTGCCCTCCGATAGGATTAGCTGCTGCTAGAATTGATGTCCGTGCGGGAAAAGAAGATATTATACCTGATTTTGCAACGGTGACACTTTGTTGTTCCATTGATTCTAATAATGCCTGAAACAATATATACATATAAAAATTAATATATTTTAAATATTAAAAAAATATTTGCTTTATTAATTTTATTATGAAAATGTTACAGAAAGAAAGAGACCAAAAAAGAACGAGAAAAAACGGGAAAATTGCTATACATTAAATTTGTTACAGCATTAATAGCATTTATTCATTATTTTAGCATACATAATGAATATTCATATCATTTTACCTGATGTTGAGAACATATTTTATCAAATTCGTCGATGCAACAACAACCTTGATCTGCTAAAACCAAAGCACCAGGTTCTAAAGCAAAATCATTCGATCCAGTTTCTTTTGTAAGTGTCACCGTTAATCCAGAGGATGTACTTGAATTGCCACAAATATATACGCCTTCAAACATTTTATAATTTTTTATAAAACTTTTTTTGAAAAATATTTATATGAAATATTTATATTTTAAATATTAAATAAATATTTATATTTTTTTATATTTTTTTATTTTTTTTTACAAATTATATTTTTCGAAATAAACTTAATTTTACCTTTTGTAGATATTCGAGCACATGCTTGTAACATCTGCGATTTGCCAAGACCAGGATCTCCGATTAACAAAATATGTATGCCATCTCGTAACTGCGCGCGCTTTATATTACCCCCAAATAAACTCAATATCAATCCAGCTTTTATCATTTCATGGCCATATATACTAGGGCATAACGAATGTACTAATAATGCAAAAATATTTGGTTCTTTATATATATTCTACACATAACAAAAAAAAGACATAATATAATTATTTTAGGATATAGGATTTAATTCAATTTTTATATTTAATAAAAAAGAGAAAATATATACCTGTATGGCCAAATAATTTTTTAAAGAAATTTCATTATTCATAGAACTCTTATTTTGACATTTACGTTTGTTATTGATAACTGTTATTGCTTTCATATATAGAGAAAACGGAGTCCCAACTTGTATTTTAGTTGCATCATCGACTCCTTGTACCTAAAATTTTTCAAGATGTTAATAACTTTTTCTTCATTTTTTCTTTAGTATTTTCATATTAATGAAAAATAAATCATTATATAGAAAAGTTTTTTTAGATGTAATATAATTTCTATATAACTAGTCCTGAGAATTACCTTAATAATGCCTGTAAGTGTTATATCGTCCCCAGGCATACAAATATTAACTAAATTATCCATAAGTTCCACATCGAGTACTTTAGGCACTTTACCTTTATTCTCCTACAAAATATTAACACGTGTACATACTCATACATATATATAATTTCATTAATAATTTATTTCATATAAACACTTTTCTTTAAAGCATTTAAAATATATTATTTGTATGTTTGTCCTTATTAAATATTAATTTTTAAAACAATTTAAAACTTAATACCAAATATAACTATTATAAAAAATAAACTGTGTATGAAAAATATTTTTGTTTGTATTTAAACTAATATCTTGCAAAAAATAATCATATTAATTAATTATATTATAAATAACAAAATGTACTATCTGCTCATCATTTAATGGTTCTTGTATCCTGATGATCTGGAATAAAATACTTTTCACGAAAGGTGAATCCAACACTGGATAAAACTTTGATGTACCACAAGTATCACATTTTTTTGGTAAAGTATATATTTCTTGAGACTGTTTGATTAATTTTTGCAAATGACATTTGGAACAACCAAATACCATCCATTGTATGAGATGTTTTATTCTACCAACCCTTATTACACAACCTCTGGTAGACACCAATCGCTCTAGAAAGATTAGATAAAATAATAATTATTTAGCATTACAAAAATGAAATAAATTAAAAAATTAATAAATCTATATAACATCAGATATTTTTTTCTTTTTAATAAAAGATACATAAAAGTCTACACATACCATAATAATTTAGCTTAAGGTCTCGCAAACATATAATTGGTTGATAGTTTAATATACTTAATTTGATTGTTGGTAAACTGCTAATAGAATTCAAAACATACTGTAAATTTTCTTCTGGCACTGTTTTCAAAATTTTCTAAAATTATGGTATCAAAAATTTACAAGAATTATAAGAAAGAAGAATATCAAGAATTCTGTTGATAACAAAAATCAAAATTTTAGAAGTCAAATAAATAATTAATAAGTAAATTAAATTTATATTGCTTATGAAATCAAAAATAAATAAAATTAAATTAAAAATATAAATAATATTTATTTAAATGTAAAGAAAAACATACCTGATGAATACCAAGTTTTATACAATTTAATATGTTCATTGGATTTTCATGAATTTCATGCTTAAAATTTGGCCATTGCTTCATAAATTCACTATCCTCATATAGTTCACAGATGTCAATGTCAAAAGACATTCCTACTTCCAAATTTGCCATAGTAAACAATGAAGATAATACTTCATGTCTTTCTATAAATGCCTCTACAGCTTTAATTTGCTTTGTAATAGCACTATTAGTTTTATATTCTGTATAAATAATTCTGTATAAATAATTTATTATAATACATAAAAGAGAGGTGAAAGAGAGAAAAAGAAAGAGAGATGCAGCAAGACATATTTAAGAAAATAATATTTGTTTTTTTAATTATGCCAATTATATACATACCTTTGTCAGGAAAAAACAACCTCCATCCATAATATGGAATATCTATATTCCTACCAATGTCGAGATTATAATCTGCTTTGTTTTGATCTATAAAATAATATTACAGTATTTTTGTAAAATTTATTCAAAAATTTAAAATATTTTATTTTTAGCTCTCTAAAAATTTTTATATTTAATAAATTTAGATATAAATTAAGGCCCGATTGTATCAATATTTTGACTTTAAGCAAGACTTAAATATATATCTATTTTTCTTTATTTGAAAAGAAAGATAAATATAGTACACATATTTAAGTCTTCAATTCAACATAATGGTGCAACTTGGTTGAATTTAAGTGAGACTTAAATATATGTACTATATATATGTATATATATGTTTGTGTATATATAAAAGTGATAAAATAATTATATATATATATATATATATATATATATATATATATAAAAGTAATAAAATAATAATAAAATAATAATAATAATAAATAGAAAATAAGCACAATTTCGATACTTACATGATATATTATTATGTGATTTGGCAGTTTTCATCCCTTTCCATTTCTTTTTATAATAATTTGCTTTATCACACATAATATTCAATAATAATTTCAATAATAATTTCAATAATGTATATTATACATGTAATGAAATTAAGAAACCAACGAAATGTTAATGTTTTTACAATTTCCTTCTATAATCAAAACAAAACTCAAAAAGGGTGCTTTCCACAAACTTCTCTATCTGACATTGGGTCTGTTCTTTTCAGCTACACTGCTGCACTAGTGCAATAAGTTAGAAAGAGACAAACATGCTTTCTTTCACTCTAAGGGCCTATCCAGACAAACTTGCATAGGTGCATATGTAGAGAACCTCTAGGAGAGAGAATGGACAACTGATCAAGCTTTTTCATGATTGGCTGGCAGAAAATGTATCAATTTTAGCTATTGCGACGCCAATGCAAAATATGATGACACACAAATAGGTTAATATAACCTATTTGTGTCATGATATTTTGCATTGGCGTCGCAATAGCTAAAATTGATACATTTTCTGCCAGCCAATCATGAAAAAGCTTGATCACATGTCACATGATCAGTTGTCCATTCTCTCTCCTAGAGATTCTCTATGCATATGCATAACATAAGACCATATGGACCAATGAGCATCGAGTATTAAATCGCTATATTGACTTACATAACATAATACTCGATGCTCATTGGTCCATATGGTCTTATGTTATGCATATGCACCTATGCAAGTTTGTCTGGATAGGCCTTAAAAGTTGCGTATTTGTCGGTCCGGTTTTTTTGTGGCTGGGCTCCCCGTGGACTAATATTTCGGAGTATTTCGAAAATTAATAAAAATATAAAAATTTATTTTGATAGTTTTCCGACCAAAAAAATAATTAATACATTAGAAAAATACAAAAAAGTGACATTTGTATGTATTGTTTATTATAACAGAAAATAATAAATAAATTTTCTAAATTGAAAAACAATTTGAGGTTAGAATAACATTCCATTTTCCATAAAAATCACTCCTTGGGGAGCGAGGCTATCGAAAAATTGGATTGGAAAAAAATTCTGATTGGTTGACCACCACTCTAGTACTTTTCCGAGATTCCGTTTTCCTTAATTCCGACTGCCATGCTGACAGCAAAACTGAACAAAAAGCATTTAAATTACAATATTGAACTTTACCGGTTCTGGCATAAGTTAACAGTAGTGTTCCTAGAATACAGAGTCTGGACAATCCGAATTAAAGCCCCTCAAAATGGCGTCAATGTGTGATGTGAGTATATAATGAAAGAGAGTTTCTTATAGAAGAATTGAAGATACATAAAGAGAAAAAGTAAGTAATAAATAACATAAATAATAACACATAATAATATATAATGTATAACATATCAAATATTATAACATATAATTATTAATACATATAATACATATAAATATTTATAAATAATTATTTTATCTCAACTTCTAAATAATGTTAACAAAATAAACATTTAATTTTAATGATAGGCTAAACCATGTCTTATTGTTGTGTTACCAAGTTTCCAATTCCTCCTTAATATTATACAATATTTTATTATATCTATTTGTTTTACTATGTATATGATCAAATTTTACATTTAGAATAAATAAAATACGAAATAAATCTTGTTCTTCAATGGTTTACCTTTATTCTAGGATTTTCTATTTTACTTTTCATTATTTTATTTATTTATATTACTTTATTTATATTAATGATGTTTTATGTTTCTTTGAATACATGTGCGTTCCCACTGCATTTTGATTCGTTCTGCCATTTTGAGGGGCTTGCGAGCTGAATCAATGAAAAGATGTCTATGGCCGGTATTCATAGACCGGTATTCATAGGCCGGTATTCATAGTCCGATCTTATATTTGAGATCGTCTTAAGTTCGAGCTTGAAATGCTACGCAGCTATTTGATTGGTTGAATGAGGTCTTAAGTCAACCTCGAAGCAGACTTAAGACAATCTTAAATATAAGATCGGACTATGAATACCGGCCATAGTCCGATCTTATATTTAAGATCGTCTTAAGTCTGCTTCGAGGTTGACTTAAGACCTCATTCAACCAATCAAATAGCTGCGTAGCATTTCAAGCTCGAACTTAAGACGATCTCAAATATAAGATCGGACTATGAATACCGGCCTATGAATACCGGCCTCTGTATTCTAGGGACACTAGTTAACAGTTACGATCTCTATAAACCAGCCTTAACGTTTGCTTATTGCGCATGTGCAACTTTATTCCGGCAACGCATCACTGCTTTATAGTCGAATAATCGAAAACTACATTCGGCATCCGGCAAACGCCCTAGTGCCAAGTGTATCTTACTATCGTTGTGTGGAAGTTGATATTTCTACTTAAGAGATTTTTGCTGACAGATTGTCTTGTTTTTATCGATTTTATTGAGAAAGAACAGTACGACAGTGAATCACATGGAAATCTCGCTCATGGTGAGTTGGCAGATCTTTTAGCAATGATCGTAATCGCGCGATAAAGAGCACGAAATATTACAATTTATGTTCCAAAGCCTAATTCTAGATAAGAGATTAAGCTCAATTAAGAAGTTGCGGACCAATACATAATTAAAAACTTTGCATTTTTTAATTTTATTTTGTGGTCGATATTTTTGCTCGGAAAGCTTCTTAATATGGATAATGTTTGGTTATCTGGCGCCGTATTTTGACTAAAATTGCTAGTATGAATCATGCATTCCATCTACCGTTTGATACCGGTGACGTAGCATACATACAGAGTGATTCTTAAATAAATATGTTCCGAAAAGAAGAATATAATCCTTCTTAAACCATTTTATAAAGAAAAATTTGTTTGTATATATATACACACGCTTTTGTCGGCTTATAAACGGCTTAGTTCCGGATATACAAGGTGTTCAATAAAAAATATTTTAAACTCAGTCGTTTGTGAGAAAAGTATATATACATTTTTTTTATAAAATCATTTATGGAATTATTTTTTGGGACATACTTAAGTATTACCCTGTATATGCATACTTTTGAGTCATGCACTGCATCACAATCTTGTTTAAAATTACTGTCCGAATAATCGTCATTTTTCATGATTAAATTTCCGATTTTATTAATTTTTTATATTTATTGTGTAAATATCTAATATGATAATTTCGAAAGATTTTAATTTAATTTATTCTATAAAATTCGACGATTTATTGAAGCAATATGTTTGCGATTCAGTTACAAAATTAATGATGAATTTATTATATTTATTACAAAATTATATTGCACTTCTCTCTGTTATACGTACAGATCTCTAATAATAAATACAAAAAACTATGACAATATAAGAAATATTTTTGTATATGAATTATATACAACAGTTGATTAAATAATGTGTTATTTTATTCATTAGAAAAAAGTGGGATATTTTCAGACCAATGAAAATACTTGGATTATATTTAAGTAACCTAATTAGACTAAATTTTAATAATTTTATGTATAGCAACTTGTGCACCCAGCAATGAAATTGAGCGAGTTTGTTAACAAAATTGAACAAAATGTGCCATTCATGAACAATTCATTATCATGTTTGTAAGTTATATATCAGTATAATGCAATTCGATCATGTTACATATTTGTTTATGTGAAATAGTTATATCAAGTTAAAGTTTTTAAATATATAACATAGTCAATTAAAAAATTAACAAGATTTTATGCATTATTTTAAATAAATAGTGACTATTATTTTATTTTTTGTTGTGTTATTTTCTTTATGTAACCTTTTGTATTTATTATTAATAGTCATTAAAAATATTTTGTAGTGTTAACATAAACTAATTATTATTATATAAAGACACAGCATATAAAATATGTTCATATTTTTAATAAAATTAAATATTGATAAATAAATCTTTCAAAAAATAAATTGCAAAATTATCATTGCAGTTTATATGCGATCAATTAATGCAATTTGTTATCTATTGCAACAGTTTAATTCTTTAAATGTTGGACTACTCCATTATTAAGGAAAATTTAATTGATCAAAATATTATCAGAATGATATTTGAAATCTTTTAGTTCTCTATAATAAATATTGTATGTATTTTTATATATTTAATTATATGAGCAATAAATATAAATTATATATACAGGGTGTCAGGGCTATCTGTTGCCAAAGAAAGTTCTTGTAACTTACCTCGAGAGTTTTTCAAAACATTATAATAAAGTATTTTTTCATTGAGTACTTTTCAAGTAGGTTTGAAATAATTTCTTCATTTTTACATAAATCATAAAATATCTAGTAAAATATTCATTTTTCGATTATCTTGCCTTAACTAAACAAAATAATGAGAGGAATCAATAGGTATAAAGAAAACACATAATTGTTTCGAAAATAAATGTAATTGTTAATTGCAAATTACATTTTTTCTTTCGAAACAATTGTGTTTTTTTTTACACCAATTGATTCCTCTTATTATTTTCTACATAAAAGTATTAAGGTAAGATAATCGAAAAATGAATATTTTACAAGATATTTTACGGTTTATGTAAAATTAAGAAATGATTTCAAGCCTCATAACTTGGAAAGTACTTAATGAAAAACTAACTTAATTATAGTGTTTTGGAAAGCTCTCGAGATGAGCTACAAGAATATGCAAAAGCATATATGGTGTCCCATTTAAAAAATTGGATGTGACCTTCACGTGATCTTCAGGTAAAATTAATGACACCATCACATAGACACACACACACATACACACACACACACACACACACACACACACACACACACACACACACACATATACATATATTAATATACAAGATTTATCTGGAAAATTTGGAATTATTAGACATTCTTTTATAAAAAAATCAAAAGATTCTCATGGAATTTTATTCGAATTATTAAAAAGATAAGTTTTTCAATATTTATTATAATATAATTTTATTTTGATATTGTAACCTGTAATCTATCAGTAAGATAAATAAATTATGCATTTAATATATATATATATATATATATATATATATATATATATAAATTTATATTTATATTATAAATTTATATTTAATATATTATACATTTATTTGTACATTTTATTATACATTTGTTTTTGTTTATATATTTAGTGTTTTAACTTCAAAAATATTGAATATGTAACATATATTCATTATTATAAATTTTATTTCTATTCCGTGTTTTTCACTACATTTGCAAAATTAGCAGTTAAAATTTAGAGGTTCTATCCTTTGTCTGAAAAACAACATTAAAAGACCGTTTAAAATGTAACAAAAATCTTATTTTATTAATTTGTACCAAAACATCTTCAAAATATTCTCTTTATCTGGAGTTTCGAATAAAAATACCTGGAAAGAATTTTTAAAAAATTTTTTTACAAAATTTGAGTAGGCATCATAAATGCAATATTTTGCAAAAAAGATATAGCAATATAGTTTTCACCCAAAAATAATTGATTTTTTCCAATATAAATGTTTGTGAAAGATACAGTGATTCTTATCCGAATAACGGCTGTACGAGGAACGTAACGTAGTGTGATAAGGGATTGCGAAACAAGGGGAGGTAAAACGAGGTGACGTACTGCGCCGGTCCAGACTGGGAACATCGAATTCGGGGTGGAACATTTTCCGTAGCCGCCGCCTTCACTTCTATCTCCACTTTCGTCATCATCACCGTCTTTCCTGTCTCACTCTGTTATTTCTTAAATTTTATTTTTTTCCTTAATACTTGTATCAATAAGAATTAAATATTTTCAAGCTAGATTGTTTTATTCGGTTATGAAATTATGTGTCCAGTTAAATTAGTGCGGGTATTTCTACATTTTTTAAAATAAAACTAGCTGTATTCGACATTTATAGCATTCTAGAATTTATTTCTGTTTTTTTTGACGGTGCTACAAAATGTTCAGATTCTCATATATCATTGATATTTCATAGATGATATTCAGTTGAAGCAAAATGTGTTCAACTCGAATGAGGCGGTGCCGATAATTATGTAAGAAATTAAACGAAATATTTATATATCGAGATTAGGAGGTATGTGTAGACTATGAAATTATTAAATTTATCTAGTTTTACATTATAAATATCAGGGTGTCCCAAAAGTCCCGGACCGGTCGAATATTTCATAAACTATGCACTTTAGAAAGAAATGTTTCAGACAAAAGTTGTATGGCTTGAAGGGGACTATCAGATAGTGGCAATGATTTGACCTTGGAGAGTCATTTGAAGGTGACGTAAAGGTCACCTTCAATTTCTTAAATGGAACCCCCTATTTTTTATTACATATTCGTGTATCTTATCTCGAGAGCTTTTCAAAACACTATAATAAAGTATTTCTTCATTGAGTACTTTTCGAGTTATGAGGCTTGAAATCATTTCTTAATTTTGCATAAACCATAAAATATCTAATAAAATATTCATTTTTCGATTATCTTATCTTAATACTTTTATGTACAAAATAATGAGAGGAATCAATTGGTGTAAAGAAAACATATAATTGCTTAAAAAAAAATATGTAATTGTTAATTGCAAATTACATATTTTTTTCTTAAAAACAACTATGTTTTTTCTTTACACCAATTGATTCCTCTCATTATTTTGTCCATAAAAGTATTAAGATAAGATAATCGAAAAATGAATAATTTACAAGATATTTTACGGTTTATGTAAAATTAAGAAATGATTTCAAGCCTCATAACTCGAAAAGTACTCAATGATGAAATACTTTATTATGTTTGGAAAGCTCTCGAGATAAGTTACACGAATATGTAATAAAAAATAGGGAGTTCCATTTAAGAAATTGAAGGTGATCTTTACGTCACTTTCAAATGACTCTTCCATGTCAAATCATTGCCACTATCTGATGGCTCCCTTCAAGCCATACAACTTTTGTCTCAAACATTTCTTTCTAAAGTGCATAGTTTATGAAATATTCGACCGATCCGGGACTTTTGGGACACCCTGTATACTTGTTAAATGTGGCTTAGGAGTTTATTAATAATAGTAATGTAGTTTATTAAAAGAAACTACATTTGAAACTATTATACATTGAAGAGGAAATGATGTGTGTGTATGTGTGTGTATGTACTTATATTAGAAATGTTATTACTGTACATCGACGTTATTTGTAACCAGTATTAGAGCAGTATAAGCAGTATAAGGAAAAGCAGCAGGAAGCATAATAATCGCGAGTGATAGCGCTACGAATGATATATAAGAATAATGTTTAAGTGTTGTATTTCTAACAATATATCGAAGAAAACGAATGCCGAGACAAAATCGAAAGCAGACGACATATCGATTGAATCGCCCAAACTAACTACAATATCTACAAGAGTAGATGATGAAATAAAAATCCTAATGAGAGCGGATAAGCTGAACGGCAATTTGCAGATATCGGAAGATACATTTTCAGCCGCATTGGACTTGACTCCAGTTTGCACTAATTCCACGATAAAGAATTCATGCGAGATTGCACAAAATGAAAATGCTAATATTAAGGATAAGTCAAATTTAATTGATAAAGGTAATAGCAACTTTAATAATGCTGATGAAAATCAAATGGAAAATGTCAATTCTGGCGCATTTAGCGCTATCAAAACAAATCTTTATGATGCATCGGGATACATAGAAAGGACAATCGATGATGGACCAGAAGACGAAGGTGATGATTCGGTTTTCGAAGCCTGTCCGAGTGGAAACGAAACAGCTAAGAAAGCGCCACCAGGTATCATTATTTGTTAGGATTCGTGTTTTCCAAGTTTCTATCAAGTTTTCCTCTGTTCCTATAAATAATGGATCACTAGTGAGTAATATGTAGCCTTATAAATGTAACATTGTTAATATAATTTTAATGATGTTGCATCTATGAGATTATAAGTCTGTCCATTAATACCTAAATACGTTTTATAATTATATTATATATATTATATTATATTTTAATTTGAATTTTGGAATAACATATGAATTAGAATATTTATTATAAGTTTTTTGATCATTTTTAAAATTGTTATTTTACTTATTTCATTAAATATTTATGTGCAGTGTTTGCTGTAGATAATTTCTAAATTATCTAGATAAAGATAAAGATAAAAATTCGTAAATTTATCTTAAATGAGATAAAGATGATTTTGCTTTTACTTAATCTAGATAAAAGATGAGATGATTATTGCGATAATCTAGATAATTATCTAGATATTTTTGTTTATTTTATAAGACTATAAATATTTATAAAAAATGTGACGCAGATTATAAATGGGATATTAAAATCATAAACACATATTCTTTCTCTTTTCCTAAAGAATATTTAAATAATAACAAAAAGGTATATAAATGATATGATAAATATTTATTTATTAATTTATATTTATAATATATTTATAAAATATTTATAATATATTTATAATATATTTATAATATATTTATAATAAATTAATAATATAATAAACAATGTGTAACAATACATATATCATTTTTATAAAATATACATTAATGCATTGCACAAATTTAAGTAAAATAAGTACAAGATAAAGCATAATTGTAATATTATTTTCCAAATAAAAAATATATTTTAGATATTTTAAATAAATTTTTAGAAGCTTGTCTGGAAAACTCTTTTTCATAATGAAAACGTCATCTTAGATAATTTTTGGATAAGATGATGACATATATTTTTTTATCTAAGATAAAGATAAAGATACTTTGTATTTCTTCATCTAGTTAAAGATGAAGATGACCCATTTCTTTATCTAGATAATTATCTAGATAATTTTATCTGGATACCAGCAAACACTGTTTATGTATTATCACACACTTAAAAAAATATTTTTTTCTTGTTAATATTTGGATATAAGAAAAACATGAAAATAATATAAGTAATGGTTTTTTAATATACATTATTATACATTTTTCCTCTTTTTGTTTAAAGAATTTAAGTATGCTAATGATTATGTAATATATACTAATATTTTTAGTATATGTTACATAATTAGTCATGTTAGTTTTATATTGTCATTATTTGAACATGTTGAAATAATTGCATTTCTATGGATGATTTTATGGATTAATATTTGGACTCCAAACAAAAAGTTCGCAATATACCAGAAGATTGGCGATAATTCAAATAGCTAAATTTGCCAAGAGCATTTATCATATTTATATAATATTCCACATATATTTTATTTTTGCTGCGATTCTACTGTTGCATTATGACAGTCTATTGTTATACTGTAAAATTAAAACATGTTTCATTTCTACTATATTTTTACCATCAATAATTGATATAGTAAATTTCCTTGGAAGGTATTCATTAGCACGATATAATAGTTAATTTTTTCCATTTTTGCTATTATAGTAGATGTTGACAATGATGCTAGTAGTGTTATAATGGTAGAAAGTAAACAATTGGAGAAAAATCAATGGATAAAAAATCTGCATATTATGATTAGATTTACTGTCATGCTGCTGGTATTTTGCTATCTGGACACTTACCAAAATCTACTTGAATAGATTTGGAATTTCACTTACAATTAATATTTAGACAAAAAATATTGTTGAGAAAAATACCGAATTGGAACACGAAAAAGATATTATATGATTTCAATACTAATGATAAATAGAAAATTATATTTTTGTATTTATGTATTAATAGTGTTAGTGTCACAACACATTTTGTGATATATAACATAAGACCAATATAGTTATTTAAGTTTAAAAAATATATGCTCCAATTTTCAAAGTCAATTTTCTCGAAAACTATAAACAAAAAATGTAAATCTATATTTATGTTTAATTTTTTATCTAATTTATATCTAATTTTGATGAAGAATTATACCCTTTTACGATTATACTTATACATTATCTAATCTAATCATATATAAAATTATTATATAAAAGATATGAAATTAATTTTTGTAATTTAGAAACATTCAAGAAAATTAATTATTAATATAATTAATATAATTTATTAAATAATAATTCTTCCCGATACATATCACAAAATTAAATTTTCACAGTATACCTTAATATTATGTAACAAAGTTAAGTTTTCATGTTATATCACAAATTGTGTGTGTGTGTGTGTGTGTGTGTGTGTGTGTGTTTATACATATATACAGTGTTTGCTGGTATCTAGATAAAATTATCTAGATAAAGAAATGGATCATCTTTATCTTTAACTAGATAAAGAAATACAAAGTATCTTTATCTTTATCTTACATAAAAAATATATGTCATCTTATCTAAAAATTATCTAAGATGACGTTTTCATTATGCAAAAAAGTTTTCCAGGCAAGCTTCAAAAAATCTATCTAAAATATCTATCTATCTACCTAAAATATCTAAAATATATTTTTTATATTATTATTATTAATATATTATAAATATATATATATATATTATTATATTATTAATATATTAAAGATATATTATAAACATAAATTAATAAATAAATATTTATCATATCATTTACATACCTTTTTGCTATTATTTAAACCTTCTTTAGGAAAAGAGAAGGAATATGTGTTTATGATTTTAATATCCCATTTATAATCTGCGTCACATTTTTTACAAATATTTATAGTCTTCTAAAATAAACAAAAATATCTAGATAATTATTTAGAATAAGTAAAAGTAAAATCATCTTTATCTCATCTAAGATAAATTTACGTATTTTTATCTTTATCGTTATTTAGATAATTTTGAAATTATCCACAGCAAACACTGCATATATATGTATATATACAAAGTGTGCAATAATGATCATTGCACTTTTCATGCGCAGATAGTGCGGGTTAAATTGAGTAGAAAAGTCCTCCACAATTTTGCTATCATGGACTCTTGAAAGACAAATCTCTTTTCAAGAATAAAAGCTCGACGTGTTGTCGTTTCCGCAGTTGCTTCAATTCCACGGTGGTTATCAGAAGAAGACGATGGCGAATACGTTACAGGAGGATTCAGTGGCATGCAGGAGCCACCGGCGACGCCAGTGGCTCGCGATGAGCTAGCTTTAAGACGACACAGATTCTTCTCCGATTTGTTACAAGCTGCGCAAAATTCAACGGAGCACAGAGTGAGATTCGACCCGCTAGGACCAATGGTGCACACCGGTTAGGGCTCGCTTGAATTTCCAATCGTTTATTGTATATGCGCGTGGTTCAGGAGTCAAAGTAGTCCACTTTGCCTCGTGAGTCACAAATCACTCTACATATAGTATTTATTTCTATCAGTTTAATTTCTCTGATACAATTCCAACAGAGGATTCAAAATATTAAACTAATTATTAGTGTTTTTAATTATTTTAATAATAATTTTATTAACAATAATTACGAACGTATAATGTTAGACACATAGTGTCTCAAAACTTACGCAATAAGTATGTGTGTGTATTTTTATTTGAAAGTTTTTTTTTAAATCGAAAAGAAAATTTTAGAGAGTGATCAATTAAAATGGGACATTTAGTGTGTACATGTGCACACAACACAAAGTGTCCCATTTTAATTGATCATCTAAAATTTTTTCGTTATGATTTTAGAAAAAAATATTAGACTAAAATTGTAAGATTTCATAAGGGAGACATTAAATAGATCAAACGCGACATTTTCCTAGGTAAACGTATTTCATAGATTTGAATTTTTTAAAATAAAAATACCTTATTGTTTTATGTAAATAATTTCTTATAATATTCTGCATGAAGTTATCAGGATAAAATATGCAAAAATTGAATGATTTACGAAATATTTTATATTTTATTCAAATATGTATTTTGATATATCAAATACAAAATATCTCAAACTCTTCCATTTATTTCTATAACTTTTTATACAGAATGAAAAAATCTATTATTAAGAAAAAATCTATTTATGTAAAACAAATAGAGTATTTCTATTTAAAAAAATTAAGTTGATTTCCAAATCTGCAAAAGGTTTTTATTTAAGAAAATATCATTTGATACATTTTATGTCCCCCTTGAGAAACTCTGCAATGTTCTGAAACATTTTTTTAAATAAAAAAAATTTTAGAAAGTACTCGATTAAAATGGGACACCCTGTATATATTATATATGTGCATAGTAGCATCATTACAATCAAAATGAAAATTTTCTCCGTAATTTTTTTTATCAGTCTATCAATTATAAAGCGCATTTAGTTAATGAAAAAACTAATCAAAAGGGATATTTAGTTTGGTGCAAATACAATGGGATGGCAGTTATATATTATATACTGTACACAATTTAATTATCTTCTTTGCATCCTGGTAAACATTATTAAACGATAATATCCAATCTTGATTGAATATTTTATTAATTATTTGTCTCATAATTAATAGTCTAATTAAAAAGTTAGAGAATTTTTTATTTGGATAACGACTGATATATTATGCGTCAGTTGTGCTATTTTTATGACATTCTATGTAATATTTTAATGTCAATATAATCTATGTGTGCTTCAAACTATATTAAATTATATATTTTACTTTATGAAAAACTTTATAAAATGGAAGAGCTATACTCGCAAAATACATTAACCATATATATATGCGGAGTTACGATTATTCTGGCGTCCGTATGTTTTGAATAATACAGCAATAAGAACAGTCATCCAAGACAAACGAAGAATTTGATTTTCGTGTTTGGTGCGTTATTTATGTCTGATATTTGTCTCATTTATATACCATACGTAAAACCAAGAAAAAGAAAGCAAAGAATTGATCTATTGGCCTGTCACATACATGTAATGATATTATATAAATATATTTCACTTCCAATTTTTATACAATATATATCATGTATCTTTAGCTATATATAATGACGAAATCATATATATATATATATATATATATATATATATATATATATATATGCTAATATTTTATTGCAATGTTATATTACATATATTATATTACATTATAAATTATGTGTTGCGCATATTTATATATATGTAAGTATAAATATATTTGCATGAGATATTAGGTGATTCTCTAATAATAATCGGGAGTATTCTCGCGTCTCGGACATCGTTTGAGATATCTTTCAGTTTCTTGCCAAATTTCAAAAAGTAGGCGCAACGCCACTAATAAGAAACATTACAAGATTTTTTAACATGTAAATAATATTTTAACGAAAAGAATTGAATTAGTGTGTATACATATAACAGGGTGTTTTACATAGTATTATAAAGTAATACAAGGTGCTTTTATATTTCAGAAAAAATATATAGCTATTCGTTGCAAATTCATATTTTTTTAAACAATTTAGTTTTCTATACACTAATTGATTCCTTTCATCATTTTATGCATAAAAATTGAGATAAGATAATAAGATATGTACTTCCGTGGAAAAAAATTTGAAAACTTGATAGTCTCAAGAATTTTTGTCTTATCTCAAAAAATCAGAGAAATCACATGGAATTTTATTGGAATTCGTGGAATTTTATAAAAAATTTTGATAATTTTATTTTTACGTTAAACATTTATGTTAACTTAAATAGTTTTAATTTTTCCTAATGACTGTGTTCTCATCTTAAGAACTTAAAAAATCTATTTTTTTACAATATTTAAATTTTAAAATTAAAAATTTTTAAATTTTATATGATTTTATTAATTTTATTCTTTTTTACCAAAATTCCTTATATTAGTTTCTTTTGTATTATTATACAGGGTGGGGAAAAAGACCTTGAAATGACCCTTACGAGCTGCATACAAATAACGTAAAAAATTTCAAATGGAACTCGTCAGTTTTTGTTACAGATTCTTGTAGCTGATGTCGAAACGTTTATCAAAACACTGCATATGAGCCCCATTCCCTTAAAAACACTCCCAGTTACGAAACAATTGTGATAATTTGTATCGACGAAATAAGGGGTTCGTAAGGGTCATTTCAAGGTCATGCCGTCTATGCCACATAATACATCTTTTCATACCATAAAAATTATGTCTAAGACATTTTGTCGAAAAATGAATAGTTTCGGAAATAATTGTTTGCTTCCATACTTTTTCCCCACCCTGTATATTAAAAATATTTTTCTTATAATATATTTAAATAATACAACATGTATATATGCCCACAACATTTCTTTATAGTTTATAATATTTTTAGAATTAAGATAATATTTTGTTATCTAACTTTTGACTATTATTTAATTTAACCGGTATCAAAAACAATGTTAATAAGTCTCTTTAAAGTCTCTTTAAAGTCTCTTTAAAGTCTTCTATTTTATTCAATACAAATTATTTAAAATTTATTTTTTTATTTAATACAAATTATTTAAAATTTATTCAATAAAATATATTTAATAAAATAATAAGATATATTTATTAAAATATGAAATTTTTTTTAAGTTAAAAATATATATTGAAATATATCTTATTATTGTATTAAAAAATCATTTATAATAAATCACGCATATTAAATAAATTTATTTTAAAATTGCACCTAAAAATGTTTTAATTCAATCTCATTTTGAATTGTGAGCAGAAATATTTGAAAAATCATGAAATCCGCGGGAAATTTATTTACAATATTTGAATATACACTCTGAATAGTCAGATAGAAAATAAATATTTTACGAGATATTTTATGTAAAAAAAATTGTGTCAACTTAAAGTATGAAATATCTCGTAAAACTATTCTATTTTTGGCCAACTTATAACAAATTAGGATAATCCCATTTAAAAGAAACTAAATTGACTTTTAAATCTCTGAAATATTCTTACTTATAAAAAATCAGTATATTATGCAATGATTGCATTCAGCAGCTGAAAAGCTGTTTTGCAACTGTTGTAAAATTCGTGATTTTGATTGATGTATGCTCTTAGATTCAGTCAAAATTAAGAGCATACACCAATCAGGTTCACCAATTTTACAATAGTTGCAAAGTAGCTTTTCCTGCCAACTCTCTTAAAATTATACAATTTTTATATGTAATAATTTTTCATAAAACATATAACTCTATAATCATTGAGATAGCCTGTTTTATTGGCTTGTATATATTACTGTTCCTAATGTGACAATTGCATTATGCTAATAATTATTTTGAAACATGTTTAAGTACCTGATGAAGTATTTCAAGTACTATACTTCAAGTATTTGAGATATTGTCGAATTTTTTTTTAACAAGGAATTTTATTATTACTCTATGCTTTTATCGTTTATTTATTAGTTTTATATTATTATTAATAATAATCTTTTACTAAAATCTATATAAATAAATCTATATAAAATCTATATAAATATTAAAATCTTAAAATCTATATAAATATCTATACATTTATTTGCGAAATAAATTACAGGTTGCGAGAGTGGTGATAAAGAGGAACATCTAGAAGAATTGGTGAATCGGCTAGAAAACGTAACAAGTCGGCTCGAAAAAATACATTGTACAATCCAAACTCAAGACGCCGCTGTACAAACAAACATACTTTCTCCAAAGAAATCTACGCTTGCAGCAAATTTTAGTCTTGAAACATTAGAAGAAGATTCTTCAACATTGTTGGCTCTTCATTTAAAGTCAGAAATTATTTTGAATCAATCTACAAACATGTCCATAATCGGTTATGAGGACCTTTTAAATGGGCCAGTCAAAAATTATTTAGAATTAAGTCAAAAAATTGGTGGTGATGTAGCTACTCATAGTAAGCTTGTTGAGAAAGCTTTTCAGTTAGTATCTCCACTTGTTTCGAAATATCATATAATCAAATGCATGTAATAAATAAATTAAGCGCATCAAATAAATTATTAAATGTATTTTGATTAATTTTAGGATTCAACTTCGATTCGTGCAAATAGCGGCGAACCGTTCTGCACCGGCAAATCAATCCGAACAAGTATCTCTGCTTGCACCTATGTCTGTGCAGATCCAACAGATCCAAGAATTTCGTGAGAGAAATCGTGGATCTCCCTTCTTTAATCACTTATCGGCAATTAGTGAAAGTATTCCGGCTTTGGGATGGGTTGCTGTGTCTCCTACGCCAGCTCCATATATAAAAGAGATGAATGATGCTGGTCAATTTTACACGAATCGTGTATTGAAAGACTGGAAGGAGAAGTAAATTTTTCTATTTATTAATTATTTGTCGTAGAATTTCAAATAAGAATCCAAGCGCTATAATTCTTTCTATTTATAGAGATAAAATACATATAGATTGGTGTAAAGCGTGGGTACAAACATTGACTGATCTACAACAATATGTTCGTCAACATCACACAACAGGTTTAGTATGGGGGAAAACTAGTATTTCACCTGCAGGTATACCACCACCTCCACCTCCATCGATGCCAATCGAGGATATTTCATCAGTGATAAATGATGACAGAAGCGCCCTTTTTGCTCAGATTAATCAAGGAGAAAATATCACGAAAAGTAAATATTTATTTTCATTTTCGTTTCCTTAATACTATATTTTTTATAATTTTATTTCTATGAACTTACAATCTTTGCGGACAATATAACATACAGAGTGTCCCAAAAGTCCCGGACCGGTCGAATATTTCATAAACTATGCACTTTAGAAAGAAATGTTTCAGACAAAAGTTGTATGGCTTGAAGGGGGCCATCGGATAGTGGTAATGATTTGACATGGGAGAGTCATTTGAAAGTCACGTGAAGATCACCGTCAATTTCTTAAATGGAACCCCCTATTTTTTATTATATCATATTCGTGTAGCTTATCTCGAGAGCTTTCCAAAACACTATAATAAAGTATTTCTTCCTTAAATACTTTTCGAGTTATAAGGCTTGAAATCATTTCTTAATTTTGCATAAACCATAAAATATCTAGTAAAATATTTATTTTTCGATTATCTTACCTTAATACTTTTATGTACAAAATAATGAGAGGAATCAATTGGTGTAAAGAAAACACATAGTTGTTTTTAAGAAAAAAATATATAATTTGCAATTAACAATTACATATTTTTTTTTAAAACAACTATGTGTTTTCTTTACATCAATTGATTCCTTTCATTATTTTGTACATAAAATTATTAAGGTAAGATAATCGAAAAATAAATATTTTACTAGATTTTATGGTTTATGCAAAATTAAGAAATGATTTCAAGCCTCATAACTCAAAAAGTACTCAATGAAGAAAGTCTTTATTATAGTGAAAGCTCTCGAGATAAGCTACACGAATATGTAAGAAAAAATAGGGGGTTCCATTTAAGAAAGTGAAGGTGACCTTTATGTCATCTTCAAATGACTCTCCCATGTCAAATCATTGTCACTATCTGATTTCCCTTTTCAAGCCATACAACTTTTGTCTGAAACATATCTTTCTAAAGTGTATAGTTTATGAAATATTCGACCGGTCCAGGACTTTTGGGACACTCTGTATCTAATACTTCTATCATAGGTTTGAAAAAAGTTACTTCAGATATGCAAACGCATAAAAATCCTGCTTTGAGATCCGGCCCTGCACCATTTAAAGCACCAGCAATTACAAATGTGACATCTACAAAAAATGTATTACCGGCAAATGCACCTATTGATAAACCACCAGTATTTACTCGAGATGGCAAAAAATGGCTTGTGGTAATTAATGTTACATAATAAATAGATAAATAAGTAAATAAATAAATATTTTTTTATTTATGTGCGTAATATATAAATTTATGCATTATTGTAATAATATATACATTAAACATTTCTCTTACAGGAATATCATAAGGGAGAAAATTTAGTAATTGATAATGTGGAAATGAATAATGTGATTTACATGTTTCGATGTCAAGATAGTACACTTACTATTAAAGGCAAAATAAATTCCATCGTTATGGATTCCTGTCGTAAATCATCCGTCGTATTTGATTCTCTCGTATCCAGTATCGAATTTGTTAATTGTCAAAGCGTACAAATGCAGGTATGTATAACGCAATATCTTTTATTAGCGTATGCATTATTATATTATCACGGTTTTAAACAAAGATATAAAAAAAAACAATTATTCTTAAAAAATAATATTAGTAAATATTTTATATCTTTGTTGATATAAGAAAAAAGTTTTCTTTGTTATATGAAAAATTATTTTTCTAGTATTGCTCTTAATTTTTTACAATATTTGCATATAATGTATAAAAATATAAAAATTATTTAGAAAAATATATTCTTATAAAAGAGAATTCAATAAATGAAAATTAAAAAAAAATAATAGATATATTTTTTGTACATATCATTTATTATAATATAAATTGGAAATGAGTGCACATGCATTTGGAAAATTTTATAGTAATTTCTTTTTCTATATTATCAATAATCAATTTATTTATCTATGTTATTAGTTCTATATAGATTTGATATTCTGTTTTCAAAATAAATGATCTTATTGAATAATATTTCCATAGATTATCATTTAATGTAATAGTAATAATAATAAAAAATTGTTCAGAAGCTATATTTTATACATGTTATTCTTATATTTATTTTTTCATATATAAATTTATATATAATATTTTATTGGAATTGTCAATTGCTAAGCATTTTACATTTTGTTCATTAGAGATTGAATCTCTGAATCTTTTTATTACTATTTCGCTGTGTTGTATTACATTTTTGCAATTTCTTAACAAATTTGGTTTGTTTTCTAATTTAATTTATATACAAATATTTATTCTCATCTCTGAGATTTTTCACAAGAGTCTTTTTTCTCATTAAATGATTAATTGAATTGTTGTATGTCCTTGATGTTTCAATTAGCAAATTTTACGACTTCTTAAAACTAATATGCAAGACATAATAAATGTGCTTTGTGATATATTTAGTTATTTTATAGATTGTAACTTATTTTCTATACATTTATTTTTATAAATTTGTATAAAATTGATGCAATTTTTTCCGATTTTTTTAAAAAAATATGCATAAGAAAGGAATATAAATCCTTTTAAATATTAATTGTGTATTCTTTTATTTGTTATTAAAGATATATCACTTTTAGATTTAATTCGATTAATATGTTTGTAATAAATATTTTATTGGATAATTTTCTGTTGAAAGCAATAAATGTGTGATGTTTACAGAGATATTTCATCATTTAAATATTTAAAATTATATAATAGGATCTCGTCTGTATTTAATGTATTTCTTCTATATTAATCAAATAATTATGTTCTAATTTATCTGAATTGAGATTAAATCAACAAATTTCGTCGAATTAGAACATTCAAAATATAAAAAATAATTTTTTTAGCAAATTGTTATATTTATTATATTTCTGGATATTCAATCATAAAGATTTGCCTTTTAATAATATTTTATTTCCTTTTGTACATTCAACTTTGTATATGTGCATGTGGATGTTTTAAATTCAATAAAGACTTAATAAATATTAAATATTATATACTATTTTCACATTATTATTTCTTTTTTTAGTGAAACATGAATTGATACAGGAGATCGAATAGTTAGATTTTGCTACACATTCATCACATCGTTTCAATAATCTTTGCAGTTGTTGCAAATGGAACATATAATATTACTGAGGATTTATTTTTAACGATTTATATCTATTTCTTATGTTTCTGAAGATTTGCGCTCATATCAATTTTTTTTTTTATTTTTTTTTATTTTATCATTTTCCATATCTGTCATAATATATTTTTCACAATAGGGCATGTCAAAATCCCAATTTTGTGTAGATTTTGAACGATTTTTACAATAATATTTTAAAGTTACTGGATGAAATAAATCAGTTTCTCTTCTTTTTAATTCTATTGCCATCGAATGCTGAGTATTATTTTTATTGGAAAATTTAATAGGAGTTGTAGGCGTTAATATTCCTGGATTTTTTTTTAAACACATGTCTGAATAGCATTTTAAGATATTATCTTTGATAGAAATCTGTTTATAATTTGGTCCTTTATGTATTAAAAGATCAGATGAATTATTTAAAGAATTATTTAAAAGGTTAGATGAATTATTTAAAGAAGAATCAATGACTCGATCACTATTGCAATTTGACGATGCGATCAATCTATTGTGTAATACTATAGGACTTGTTTCATTTAAATACCGTTTATCTTGACACTGAAGCGCTTTGCGCGCTTTAGAAATCACTTTATTTTGGTTTCGAAGAAAATTATCTATGTAATCTCTGATGCTTTTAATATGCTCTAATATAAGATCTTCGAATTTTAACATTGTCAATGAATGTTTATCTTTGTCACCTACATTGTCGGTATTTTTTGTAAAATTTTCTCGCGGATTTATACAAGCCTGAATTGTATTTCCCAATACAGTTTTTGTTTGCATTAATGTTTCATTTATATCAATTTCACTTTGATGTTCTATACTGACTGGTATCACAATTGAAAGTACTTTTTCATAAACTGGAGACTTCGAGGAAACGTTGGTTTCATCTTCTTTATTATTAGGAATTGTCAAATTGGAGATGCTGAAATATTGTGAAGATTTTTCAGAAATACGATTTTGATTCTCTATATCTCTTTTGCTCTTGCGATGCGCAAATGCATTTGCTTTTTGCAAATTTTCAGGGAATAATAAATCGTATCGTTGTTTCATTTCCAAATAAATATAACATTGATTAATTTTGTCATGAGAATCACTAGTAATCGATTCTTTTATTTCGATATCTACTATTATCGAAGGAAAATTATTGTTATTTAATTCTGACAGAAATTCTTTCCTAACATCATCCTCTTTTATACTATTTATTGGGCACTCTTTTCTCGATTGGATACGTGTTAATAAGGCTTTTTTAAAATGTAAAGCTTCTTGAAGCAATAATGTTGTGGATTTCTCTTCTCTGTTGTTATCGTTCGATATTTTATTTTGACTATTATTTTCAGATATTATCGTATTTTCTTGGCATTGTTTTCCATCAAATACATCGCTACCTTTTTTAATGGTAAAATTTTCAATTAAACATGCTTTATTTTGAATATTTAAATCTTCGAAAGATTCGGATGAAGAAATGTAGCATATTTCCCTGGACTCTATCTCGGGTATTTTCTTTGTGGAATTAAATAAAGTTGTTTTTATTATATCTTCATTTTGCAATGTGACATCTTTAGATATACTCGATGAATATTCGACTAAAGAAGATGAACTTTCTTCTGAGCGATTACATTCGAAATATTCGCAACTATTTACGGTCGAGCAGTCTATTTGTTGTAAATTTTCCTTTGTATTGTTATTGCAATTTACATCGATTTCATTTTTATCAGTTTTTTCGATGGATGCCAATGCATCGATCTTAGTGATTTTATCTATTGACTCTTGCCTCTCCGAGGTCCGGCTCATATCCTGATACGTTCGCAACACGTTATGTAAACTACGAAGTCTTTTTCTAACTTCGTACAGAGTTTCTCGGGAAGATTGTATATTATGTGTTGGTTGGCTTATTGGGAGAATTGGAACAAGTTCTTTTGGTAATGCATCGTTATTCGTTACAGCACCAGTAGATACATTTTTTACGTTACTTTCACATATTTGTTTAGCATTTTGTATCATTTTATCCTTTTTCTTTTCATTCATCTTGTTTATTTCTTCTTCTTCTATTGCCATATAAGCATTACGAGATATCTCTTTTTTTTTTGTCATAAGTAAAGCTATCTAGAATATATAAAAAATATAATTATTAGCAGTGTTTGCTGTAGATAATTTCAAAATTATCTAGATAACGATAAAAATCTGTACATTTATTTTAGATGAGATAAAGATGATTTTGCTTTTACTTAATCTAGATGAAAGATGAGATAATTATTGCGATAATCTAAATAATTATCTAGATATTTTTGTTTATTTTAGAAGATTATAAATATTTGTAAAAACTGTGACGCAAATTATAAATGGGATATTAAAATCATAAACACATATTCTTTCTCTTTTCCTAAAGAATATTTAATATTCTAAAGAAATAATAGCAAAAAGGTATATAAATGATATGATAAATATTTATTTATTAATTTATATTTATAATATATTTGTAATATATTTATAATATATTAATAATAATAATATAAAAAATATATTTTAAATATTTTAGATAGATTTTTAGAAGCTTGTCTGGAAAACTTTTTTGCATAATGAAAATGTCATCTTAGACAATTTTTAGATAAGATGATGACATATATTTTTCATCTAAGATAAAGATAAAGATTTGTATTTCTTCATCTAGTTAAAGATAAAGATGATCCATTTCTTTATCTAGATGATTATCTAGATAATTTTATGTAGATACCAGCAAACACTGATTATTAGATTATACAATTATTTGCCAGCTGATCCAAACATAATGATTAATAATCTTACCTGTTTCGCCGAAACAGCAGCTTTTAAAGAAGAAGCTTTACTCGTTTCTGATAAATTTTCTGAATTATTTAATAAATGCAAATATTTACTATTATATTCTAAGTCTTTAAGAAAGGATTTACATTTATACACAGTATCTGTGAATTTTTGGCATAAATTATATTTATCATTCGTTGAATATGTTGAATATTTGTCATTATGTATTAAGAGCGTTCTTGAAAATTGATGATTAATTTCGCTTGAGTTTAAAGGTAAAAATTGTACATTTTGCCATTGTAATATGGAATCTTCACTTTTAGAAAGGTTACTTTCTCTGTCAAAAAGATTTTACTAAGAATAAAACAAATGGCGTTTGAATAAGGAATGTATAGTACATATTATTTTCAAACTAAAATATAATTATATAAATATATAAAATATAATTATATATGTAATTATATAATATATAAAATATATTATATAATTATATATATAATATATATTATATAATATATAAAATATAATTATATAAATATATTATTGCATTCACATAAACGACGTTCATTTACTATTTCATAATTAATCGATTGAAAATTAATTAAGTTAATATTTTTAACTTCTTTATGTACTTTTATGATTCATACTTTTTCCAATTACTCAAGCTGGATAATATCACGTTATTCTTCGGCAATTTTTTCGGATTTAAATTATAGATTTCATGTGGTAATGGCCATGTTCCATATTGCATTTTATACGTTAAGACATTGACCTTCAATTCTAAATCGTGAATTTTATGTCCAACTTTGTTTAATATTTGTTTATTCAACAAAATATTTTCTACTTGTATCTTTTTGCAATATTTTATACGGATAAATATCGTGAAAACGATGGCTATTATAAGAACCTTTAAATAATAAGAGAAATATGAACAAAGTCCAAAATTATTCTTAAGGACATTAATATTTTTTAAGAAAAGCTTAAATTTTACAAAAAATAATTTGAACACGAAAATTTATGTTTAAAAAATTTATAAGAAAATTTAAACTGTTTAATTGTGTGTGCTAATAACTTATAGAATAATTATGTCTCTTTTCTTACCCATATAATTTCTTCTTTTATTAAATAATCAACGACATCGGATACTACTTCGCACCATAAATAATTTGTCACTGCGATCACACATTCTTTCCAAGTTTTCTCGCATGTGACCGCTACAGTTTCGAAATTTCCACCTAAAGGTTTCCATTCATTGAATTCTTTGGAAAATAAGTTTCTTGAGTGTAGATCATTGTTTTAGATTTAATGCATTAATGTAAAATATATATAAAGTAATCTCACCAACTTTCCACGGCATTTTTATAAAGGATTTGTTCGAGTAATATGATAAATGTGCACAAAATTCGAAGAATTGTCAAATCTTCCATTACTGATATATTCAACACGATGTTCAACAAATCCAAGAAGTAGCATGCACTAGCAATTGTTATTCGAATGTAGTCTGAATATATTGCATAACTGAATATATTCATAAACTATGCACTTTAGAAAGAAATGTTTCAAACAAAAGTTGTATGGTTTGAAGGGGCCCATCAGATAGTGGCAATGATTTGACATGGGAGAGTCATTTGAAGGTGACGTAAAGATCACCTTCAATTTCTTAAATGGAACTCCCTATTTTTTATTACATATTCGTGTAACTTATCTCGAGAGCTTTCCAAACATAATAAAGTATTTCATCATTGAGTACTTTTCGAGTTATGAGGCTTGAAATCATTTCTTAATTTTACATAAACCGTAAAATATCTAGTAAAATATTCATTTTTCGATTATCTTACCTTAATATTTTTTTGTACAAAATAATGAGAGGAATCAATTGGTGTAGAGAAAAAACATAGTTGTTTAAAAAAAAAATATGTAATTAATTGCAAATTATTTTTTTCTTAAAAATAACTGTTTTCTTTACACCAATTGATTCCTCTAATTATTTTGTACATAAAATTATTAAGGTAAGATAATCGAAAAATGAATATTTTACTAGATATTTTATGGTTTATGTAAAATTAGAAGAAATGATTTCAAGCCTCATAACTCGAAAAGTACTCAATGAAGAAATACTTTATTATAATGTTTTGGAAGGCTCTCGAGATAAATTACACGAATATGTAATAAAAAATAGGGAGTTCCATTTAAGAAATTGAAGGTGATCTTTACGTCACCTTCAAATGATTCTCCCATGTCAAATCATTGCCACTATCTGATAGCTCCCTTCAAGCCACACAACTTTTGTCTGAAACATTTCTTTCTAAAGTGCATAGTTTATGAAATATTCGACCGGTCCGGGACTTTTGGGACACTCTGTATATCCTACCTAATAAAATAAAGTTATCTTTCAATGTTAGCGGTGTAGATATAATATATAGAAATCTATAGCTAGTATATAATCCCAATTTTTAATAATTGAATTTTTTAAATATTTTTACAGGTTCTTGGGAAAGTACCTACAATTTCTATTGACAAGACGGATGGTTGCCAAATGTATTTAAATACAGAATCTTTGAATGTTGAACTTATTACTAGCAAATCTAGTGAAATGAATGTTATGGTACCCAAAGCCAATGGAGATTATGTAAGTTTTTTTTTTTTTTTTTAAATTAACTTGCAGATGTACGCTTTCTCGTGATTATATAAATGTATTATATTACAGAGTGAATATCCGATACCAGAACAATTTAAGACTACCATTAATCAGAATGGTCTTAATACTACAGCCATTGATTCACTCGGTTAAAAGTATAAGGGATTTGATTAAAAATGCATAGCCTATCTTCTTAACAACATAGTTCATTAATAATATGATTGTCAAAGAGATAGTGTCGATTTATTAATATTATTATTTATTACTTTCTTTGGAGCTATAAAAAAGTATCCAATACTGCATCTTCCTTATGTATAACAATTTAACTTAATATTCATGATATGATCAGATTTCAAATCATAAATATTACTAACAGATGCATTTAATAATAAGCAGTAATAACTAATTTCATTTATTAAAATTACTTGAGAAATTTTATTATAAGATATTATATTTTAATATAAATTGTCAAATTATAAAAGCAACATAAATTATTTTGATTCAGATTAGATATCTTGAATCAAAATAGTCAATTTTTGCAAATCTCTTTATAAAGCTCTTGTTTCGTCACTGCAATAATATTGGAATATGATATCAGAAAAAAGTATATATATAATTTTGGTTTCTTGCCAAATATGTAAAAATAAATTATTTTTTTTTGTATGTCAACACTTACATTCAATAATATGAATTGAAAAATCTCTTTTTTATTCTCTAAATCTCTTTATCCTGCATACAATAAATATATACAGGGTGCTTCCGGTATTTCGGAACAGAGTAAAGCCGTAAGTAGATCTCGTTAAACTGAACTAAAAAGTCTTTTATTATTTTACAAAAGCCACGTAAAATTTCGAGACATTATTTAAAGTGTGTGCGTGTATGCATGCGCGCGTGTGTGTACGTGCGCATATAACTACATTTATATTCTATTCCCAATTCAATTCAGAAATCGGCAAAAAATTTAGATTAAATTATTTGCGTAATTAATCATAGGAAAAAATATTTTCCGATTAATTGATTAAACAGTAATCAAACTGAGAAAAGTTTTTTGATTATTCGATTAATTAGTAATCAGGGAAAAAATTTAATTATTTTATTAGTAATCAGAGCATAAAATTTTTTGGTTTTTGATCCCAAGTAACAAGCACACGTCATTTTGAATGTTCCAAACTGGTCATTTTTTGGTCATATGTCATCAAAATGACTGATTTATTACATGACTTTATATTGACGTTTTGATACAACATTATTGTGACGTCATTTTTCAGTCATGAAGTGACGATTATTTTATTATTATCATCGATCACATAAAAAAATCTTTTAAAATTTTTTATATAACATGACTTTCGCGATCAGACTTTAACAATTGTTAAAGTAAAATTCACTGTAAAACCAATAATCGCTAATTCGTTCGTTTATCGCTATGAGCACTATCTCGTATTTAGTTTTATGAGCATTATATAAAGTTTGCAAAGAATGATAGATAATTAGAAATATTACTTCGATTTAATTTCTTATACAATCTCAATAGAGAGGCTTCAGATATTAAATCGATTTTATAAGTCAGACAAATAAATGTCTGGCTACTTAATGAAAATTATTCGTTCGTTATTTATTTAAAATAACAAGTTCATGTAATACAATATACATGTAATATAAATAAAATAAAATTTTTCATATAATAAATATTTAGTAAATATAAATAAAATTTTTAATTTTATATATATTTATATTTATATATATTTATTTATTTTTATATTTATTATATTTATATTATATTTATATTTATGAAATAGATAGAGAGATGAATTGTAATTTAATATTGGTGGCAATAACGAAAGAAATATTACTGAGATATTACTGATTGAAATAGTCAAAATTATTAACTGATTCTTTTAAAATTCTTTTAATAAAATATCACTGATTTAGAGTTGTAATCAGTGACTAATCATTTACTGTTTTTTAGTGATAATGCACTGATTCACTTTTAGACAATGCTTTATTCGACAACACTATTAAATATATTATTATGCTAAGAAAAAGACGTCAAAATATGGTACATTTTATGACGTCAAAATGCGATACATATCATGAATACGCCAAGAATCTGTGACATTAGATCGTTACTTTTACGTCATAAAAACGTCAATTCGTGACATCAAGAATAATCAGTGAATGACTAATTCGAAACGTCAAAATGATGTGTGCTTGCTACCTGAGTAACACTGGTCAACAACAAAAATAATTTTAACTTTTTCCGCTTATAATGTTGCAGTTTTGGGCTTATAAGCGTGCTGATTTTGAGTACGACAGTAGTTTTTTTTTAACAGCTCTTGTTTTTTAATATTTTTAGACTACCCCCTTTAGACATCACGTGCAGTTTTTTTGAGTTTTACTCGACTCAAGATTATTATTTTTTTAACTTTCGACTCGGAGACGTTGTTTACATAATATCCAGATAGTTTTTGTTATATTTGTGGCGAATATATCTTTCAAAAATATCGAAAATCTATTTCAGAATTTGTTAATTGTAATATCTTATAAATAAAAAAAGTAGAGCTGATACAACTAAACTAGTACTTTTTTCGTAATCAGTGCCTTAGATATAACCTATAATACATGTTAAATGTCAGGAAAAAATTTGAGTGTTGACTAGTGTAATCATAATAAAAAAATTTTTAATTATTTAGGTAATGAGTATAATTATACTGAACAATTTTTCGATTAATATAATTAAGAATAATCAGATTAAATATTCTTCTGAATTATTCAATCAATCAGCACTTAAAGTAAACTAATTTTCAAATTGTATGCGAATATTTTCATAAATTATATTTCGATTATTATTATATGGTATTGTTTTTATTATTAATGTACTGCTACTAATAAGTTATACTAGATAATAACAAAAATATTTATACTATTTATGTAATAATTATTTCATTTGTCAATTTTCGAGTCTTTTTCCTTCATATTCAATATACTTGTTCATTGAAAATGGAGAAATTATTAACTTAACTAAATTATTTTATTTATCAACATTGAAAAGCTTTTTTTCTTTTTTTTTTACGAGGGAAAATGCTTCTTATGCCACACCCTGGTCGGCAAACCTGACCGAATTAACGGTCGACCAATGTCGGTCAGGGTAGTGTTGGGCTCTCCTGGCCACCAGGATAGGAACAGCCAAGCATACCAATTAAAAGCCCCTTGCGGCCATCTTTGGCCTCTAATGTCCGGATCCCGGGAACCGCTTACGCATATCTTCCGGGATCTGGACCGCACTCCCACGTGCCCCATCCTCTTTCTTCTTTACCTAACCATAAAAAGCTTAATTCAACTAATTTCATTTTAGAAGAATATATTGCATTGTATTAATGATTTTTTCTTTTATGTAATTATTGGTTTACATTGATTATTAATTTAACTTTTATTCAAATAATTAAACATTCGATCCTGATTATCGAGTCATTGCAAAGTAATTGAAAAATTTTTAGATCTAATTACTGATTGATCAAATAATTAAAATTATTTTACGCTGATTACTGATTAATCAAGCTATTAAAAAATTTTTTTAATTCTCATTGATGACTGATAAAGTAATTGAAAATTTTTATCGAGTATTCAAATAATGGAAAACTTTGATTATTGATTAAATAATAAAAAAATTTTCGACTGATTATTCAAGTAAGGATAACTAAAACTGAAAATATTATTGAAAATATGATGCCGATTTTGAGTGGAAATAAATTTTTGTCCAATTAAACAAGATTTAGGTTATTTGTTTAACCAATCGAGAAAGAACTCATCTAATTTTTTGTTATTTTTTTATCAATCGTGTGATGACATACTACAAAAATTAATTCATTTTGATGTATAATACGGAGAGTATCCGATTGATCACGTCGCTAATTGGCCAATTCAAAATAGGACTCTCTTGTTGGTTACCCTAGGCACAGGTCGACATAATTATCTGTGGTCAATCGCAACGTGGTCAAACGGGACACTCCCGTATAATACAATAAGAAAATTTTATACAATTTATAATTTTTTCATTTTAATGTAATAATTCAATATTTAACACAGTAAAGGATCACAATAATCTTATTAATTATAATATATTACTAGAGATTATCACAGGATTTTTTGTTATATAGATAAATATTAATACATTAAATTTAAAAGAAAAATGGTATTATATGTTTATGGATTAAAAATTTTATCACCTTTGAATCTTTTTTATACATTTACATCATTTTTTATGATACAAGAAATTTGCTCAAACCTATTGTTACATATTTGCTAAATACCAAATTGAATAAATATTGTACACATACAATTGACAGAAAAAAAACGGTAAATGTTTACTTTAGGTTACACAGTTCGAAAAATTTTTCTTTTCACATATGTTGTAGAGGATACATTCCTAAGTAATACACCGTTTGAATTTTGCGGCGGTCTCTTTGCGTTTCTGAGATATGCACTTTTGAAGTTTTATACTTTTATGTCATCTTTTCGTTATATTCTATTTATGTGTTTACATTTTTTGTTTACGTCTGCTCATCACAGTTTCATATTATATTTTACTCGTGTGTTTATATTTTTTGTTTACTCGTTTACTTTTGTTTGCTCGTTGTCATTAAACTATAAAATTATTGTTTAGCTTCGCTAGAAATCTTGAAGCCAGCGTAACATTTAATAAGTGTATATAATTTTCTTTGTTTTGCAAAGTACACGCGTGGATACTGTGTGCCCCCCCCCCCCTACGGGGGGGCTTCACTTTCGGAAGATATAACCAAATCCTATCCCTATCCCTAATCCTAACCCAACCGTCTGAAGTGTCTGAAGTGTGGAATATATCTGGCTTCGGATAAAAAGTTGCAAACTTATATAAACTTATGAGCCATATGAATCATGTTAAGCGAAATGTCAAGGTATTTCCTATTCTTTAGATGGGTTAGATTAGATTATATCTTCCAAAAGTAGAGCCCCCGTAGGAAGGGGCGGAACACACGGTGTCCATGCATGTATTTTGCAAGACAAAGCAAAGTTTACAAATACATATTTTATTAAATATATTTTATTAAATATATTTCTTCTTAAACATATATGATGTGGTAAACTTGTATTCTATTTATGAAACTTTTTTTGTTAATAACTATTTAATAAATAACAAGCGGTTAAAACCTGAAAATTATTCAGATAAATGACCTCGGTAAATGTAAACAAAAATATAAACTATATTATAATATATTTAAATGTAACGAAAAGATGATACAAATAAGTATAAAATTTTAAAATTGCATATCTCAGGAACGAAGAGAGACCGTTGTAAAATTCAAATGG